TCGTTTTCTTGTACTTCGAAACAACTTTTCGCCATACATTTCCTTTTAGCGACTAGCAATGTTTGCCCCCTGACGATCCCAGAGTTCTTCGCGCGAACACGGGTATCCGATTACTGGCAACTCATTCATTAGCTTCTATTTAGACCTGAAAAAGGTCTAGAGCAGGGGCTGGAAACTCATTCATCAGCTCGGTCCATTTCTCAGCTGGAGAGCAGCACCAGTAGTGTTTTTCACACCCTAGATCTCATGATCAGCTGACACTTAAAACAACGCGTCATCTCTCAGCTATCGGCAAAATGTTAAGCAATTCTCGGATATCATGCAGTTAAACTTAATTCACGCCCTTCTAAATGTTGTCTTTACATGTTGAGCTCAGGATAGTACCATATCCTCACTGCATATCCATTGCCTCACGGTATAAGGTTAAGTTATGAGAAGAGTCCGCGACTGATGAGGCAATAGACATGCAACGAAGATATGAGCAGATAGGAGCTTGGTCAACCGCCAACAGGGGAGGTGGGCAGGTCGCAAAAAACGACTGTCTTTGTGGAGTACGGGACGAAAAGATCACACTTCAAGCGGAGAGACCAAATTTAAACTCCAAATGGCACAAAGCATTACCGACGCTACCAGCACGGGCGAAAACGGGGGAATGTGATGGAATAAGAGCATGTTTTGCAATGAGCTGATTAATTATGCAGTGAAAATAGTTTCAACATCGATAGGCACATCGAATGGATCTAGAGTTAACTGGAATTCTTTAGTAAAATATGAATTGGTTTCACATTTAACGTTGTTCTTGGCGTCACTGTCGTGATGTGCGTAGCGTAAACATTGAGCTGTCTAAACTTTTTGATGTAAACCCACAAAAGTCGGATAAAGACAGTGTTGATTCCGAGGTGTGACTGAACCAAGATTGGTTGTCTTGATAACTGTAATGTATACCTATGTGCCCTTTGCAGAAAATAACAAGTTTTTATCCAAATTTCAACCAGTTTCTTGGCTTATTCGTAAAATGTTTATGTAGGCTCCTATAAACCTGAATGTTATCCCGAGAGAGAGTTCTTTAAAACATATATATGCAGTCTTCTGAAAGTCACGTTTCAATTTCACTCAAAAAAGTGGGTTTTTTGCCGTGCTATCAAATGCCGCTAATCTATTGAGTTAAGGCGCCGCAGTTTTCTCATCTTTATGTATCAGCCAATTTCAAGCTGACAAAAAAGCTGATGCCACATATTAGCCTTGTCAGATACGTGACCTGGGGGTTGACATTTGTTTCATGAATAATGTTTTAACTTCATAAGCAAAGTCAGTTAGTGTTTGTCGCTCCTTTTCGCCAGCATCACCTGTTTCCTAATTTAGTTTTATCGTAGAGCGTAATAATAAGAACTCTGTGTTACTTGGTTGTTACTTTGGAGACTATATTTCACAAAGCCATTCTCTGTTTGTGACAATTTTCAGGTGAATGCGTAAAATGCTGTTTTTTCCTCGCCATATCACAGTGATATCATTTGTTTTGGTGCTTTACGCAGGCCTTTGGAAAAACATCGCCGGCCAGATTAGAGGTAATTCATTTTACATGTTTTAGAACGCTTATACATGAATGCTCTTGATACTAGTTAACAGTCAGCATTGCCATGGCTGAGTACAAGTATATCTCCCCTTTAAACTTGTTCACTGTTCATTGCGCTTTCAAAAGTACTTCCACCAGCTGAAGAGAATCATCTAGATTAATTTCGTCAACAATGAAGTAAGCTGACAAGAGTCCATGTACTTGCCATGCAAGTTCGAGCATTTTTAGCAAGGGCATATTTGTTTTTTTAATCAACCCATAACCTAATCAACCCGTTGCTTTCAGATGGAGCAGCCAACGTAAGCCAGGCGAGTTCAATAGATTTCACTACAGTTTCTTCTCCTATCGGACCTACTCCTGATTCTTTCTTCCTTCGTTCTCTGCTCCGGAACTGTAGCCTAGATATGGCCCAAGTCACGGGTATGTAGTTGATGTATTTCAATTTCAAAAATTTAGGCTGGACTAAAAGATAGTGAAGTGTGATAATGCAAGCCTTGCTTCTTCCCACATTTTCCCCCACATTTTTG